TCACTGCTTATTCAAGATGAAAAGCAACGAGAGATGAAACCTACAAATCATTTGGCTGCAGAATCTATTTCTCTTCATGTCAACACCTCAGGAAATGCCAACAATTTTGGAAACAATAACTTCAGAACAAATTATGCCCCCAATGCTAACTTTACAAACACCAACAAAACTAGGCCATTCTGTGATTACTGCAAATGCCTAAGTCATACTAAAGACAAATACTTCAAGCTTCATGGTTACCCTCGGGGCCACAATCAGAACTTCAAGTATAACAAAAAAAATGGTAATAACCAATGCACATGTCACTTCTCCAGATGAAACATGTGCTAAAACAAATGAGTTTGGACCCAAAGATGAAAGCCAGAATCTAAACTTGTCCAAGGAACAATATGGTCAATTACTCAGTATCTTGCAACACTTTCATGGGAATAGTGGAGGAGAAAGCTCAAAGAGTACAAATCATGGGACTGGTATTGTGAACCTTGTTGTAGGAGCCATGCCTTCTGCAGGTATGATCACTTGCACATCCTCAATTGATTTTGAGAAACTATCTTGTAAATGTTTCAGAACTTGGATTGACACATGGATTCTAGATTCTGGGGCAGGCCATCATATGACTTTCAATAGATCTTCTTTGCTAGACATTAGAATACTGCCCTATACTTTGTTGGTTACTCTCCCAAATGGTTACAAGGTTAGGGTGACAGAAATTGGTAGTGTGTCACTTGCTCCTCAAATCACCTTGCATGGATTCATGTTTGTCCCATTATTCAAATTTAATCTCATATCTATCTCTTCCTTACCATGGTAGATGACTATAGCAGGTCTACTTGGATTCACCTCTTATCCAGTAAGAGTAATGCCCTGTAGGTTCTCAAAGCCTTTGTTACTCTAGTTAAGAACCAGTTTCACACAAGCACAAAGTCAGTCAGATCAGACAATGGTTTAGAATTCACTAGTGTGGAAGCAACTTCTTTCTTCCAAGATCAAGGCATTGTCACCAAAGAACTTGTGCATATACACCACAACAGAAAGGTGTAGTTGAAAGGAATCACGGGTATCTTTTAGAGACAGCTAGGCACTCTTATTTCAGTCAAAGTTGCCTGTGAGGTATTTGGGAGAAGTGTATTCTAACAGCTACATATCTGATAAACAAACTACCCACTTCTTATCTCAAAAACAAATGTCGTTTTGAACTTCTGTACAAGACAAAGCCAAACTACTCTCACCTTAGGAGATTTGGCTGTATGTGTTTTCCTACCATACCAAAAACACATAAAGACAAGTTTGAGCCCAAAACTGTGACACATGTCTTTGTTGGATATCCTTTTGAAACCAAAGGCTATAAAGTGCTAGATCTGGAATCCAAAGAGATCCATATATCTAGAGATGTAACCTTTCATGAAGACATTTTCCCTTTTGCAATTTCTCCTACTATTGGTTCATTCCCTTCAACCATTCATTCAGTTCCTTTCATCACCGAACTACACATTGATGCTCTTCAACCCATAACAGACATTTCATTCAATTCAGACAATGTTGAGACTACATCTGATGAGTTTACCCTCAATCACTCTGCGTGTTCTTTTCCTGAACAACAACCTTCTGGCATTCTATTATCACCTCACAAGACTTACCTGATAACACCTTACAAGATCCTCCACCAACTCTAGAACCTAGGAGATCTGGGAGAAAACACAAGCTCCCCACTCACTTACAAGATTATATTTACACTTTACCTCAATTGAAATCCACTCCTCCTTCCGCAACTAATGACCAATCAACATCCTCCACTTCTCTTAGTGCCTTATTTTCCTTAAAAAGTCATATCTCACCTGCATCCTTAATCCATGATAGTCAATTTCTTGTGATGAATGTTTGCAATAACTGTGAACCATCTTCATATGAGGAAGCTACACTCAATCCAGCATGGCAAGCAGCAATCACTCAGGAGTATGAGGCATTACATGCAAATCATATGGGATGTTGTACCCCTGCCAAGTGGGAAGCAAGCCATTGGCTGCAGATGAGTTTATAAGATAAAACACAAAGTTGATGGAACAGTGGAGAGATTCAAATGTAGGTTGGTAGTGAAGGATTATACTCAACAAGCAGGCATAGACTACACTAAGACCTTCAACCCTGCTATAGAGATGACAACAGTGCGAGCCCTTATAGCCACAATAGTGAAGAAACAATGGCAAATTTATCAGTTGGATGTGAGTAATGCTTTCTTCCATGGGGATCTCCATGAGGAGGTGTATATGCAGATGCCACCAGGACTAGAAACTGATTCTCTAGGCTTGGTCTGCAAGTTTAACAAGTCATTGTATGTGTTTACCTTGAAAATGGTAATGACAATTATATTTGATTTCGTGGTTCTAAAAATACGTGATTAATTTCAATACTAGTTGTTATGCGATGGATGCTAAGTGTAAATAAAGAAGGTGAGAGATGCAAACCAAAACTATCACAAATGCGAGTCTCGAGCCGCTAGAACAAAGGCTTCGAGGCTTATTTAGGGCAGTTGATAATGAACTATCGATGAAGAAACAATGATAATGAAGGCCTCTAAGATGGCCTTTTACGGCTAACAATAAGCAATAAATGAAGAACAATAAATGAACAATGAAGGAACAACGAAAAAATAAGCACTTAATGTGAAGTACAATCGTTTTAGCAAAGAGAGCAGAGGATGTTGTATGTTATTCAATGTGTTATATTCAATAATGATCCAATCCTTAAAAGATGGCAAGGGTCCCCTTAATACAGAAGGGGGGGGGGGGGGGGGGAATCCTAGCATAGTACACGTCTAATGATGACGGGAAAATGCCATAGACACAGCCGTATAATGGCTTAGTACAGATTGGTACTATTCTTGCAGACTTGGTCAGCTCTAGCCACGTGTTCTTGGGAGCTTTCCCGCCTTTCCATGACGATCGTCGATTTGTACTACTCCGAGATCGACCTTCGTTGTGCTCCCTCGAGGGACGCACCTCGGGGTCATACTTCGAATTCTACTTCAAGCTTCTCGAGGTCGGGCATGGAGTGCTACACCAACCCCAAAGTCGAACTCTTCTGATATTGGCCGTATACAGCATGGCCTTAAACAGGCAAGCAGACAGTGGTACTTTAAGCTAACTGAAGCTCTATGTTCAAGGGGATATATGTACTCCTTGAATGATTATTCCCTTTTCTACAAAAAGACAGAACACTCCACAATCTATATAGATGTATATGTAGATGATGCCATTGTTACTGGAACAGATCTTTCAGAGATCATTCAACTCAAACTTTTCTTGCATGATCAATTTAAAATCAAAGATCTGGGAAGACTACATTATTTCCTTGGACTGGAGGTTCTATATACAGATGATGGTGTGATCATTTCACAAAGGAAGTTTGCTATGGACATGCTTGAATATGACTGCCTCTCCTATAGTAGTATTTCTACTCCTCTTGATCCTAATGAGAAGCTGAGGGCCAAAGAGGGAAAACCATTACCAGATCCTACATATTACAGAAAACTTGTGGGAAAGTTGAACTTTCTCACAAACACCAGATTAGACATAGTCTTCAGTGTACAATATCTCAGTCTGTTCATGCAAGATCCTAGAGAACCACATTTGAAGCCTGCTTTCCATTTGCTTAGGTATTTGAAAGGTGATCCTACTCTAGGAATTTTCATGTCCAATGATTCTGACTGCAGTCTGAAGGGATACTGTGATTCAGATTGGGCAGCCTGCCCAGATTGTAGGAGATCAATCACAGGATACATAGTTCCATTGGGGAACAATCAAATTTGTTGGAAATATAAGAAACAAGAAACAGTTTCCTTATCCTCTGCAGAAGCAGAATACAGGTCCTTGAGGAAAGTTGTAAGGGAACTGACTTGGTTGTGCAGACTTTTGATGAACTTACTATCTCTTATCATAAGCCAGTTTCAGTCTTTTGTGACAGCCAATCTACTCTACACAAAGCTAAAAATCCCGTCTTCCATAAAGAACTAAACATATTGAAGTCGACTGTCATTTTGTGAGAGACAAACTTCATGAAGGCCTCATCTCCTTACATCACATTGCAACTGGTGCTCAACTAGCACATGTTCTTACAAAAGCTCTCACTGGTATCAAGCATTATGCTTTCTTAAACAAGTTGGGTGTGAAAACTTCACCTCCAACTTGAGGGGGGGTATTGAGATGTGTATATATATTTCATATGCTTTTATATGTTGTACGCTTAGATGTTAGTATTGTACAGTTAGTTAGTGTTAGTTAGTGTTAGTTAGAGGCCAGCTTAGCTGTCAGTTAGAGTTAGTTATTTTTTGTCTTATACTCGTATGTATATATGTACTGATACACATCAATACAAAGATGAGAAGTTCATTTCCTCATCTTTGAAATAAATCCTCTTCTCCTCTCTCAATCGAAGTTTCTAGAGCTCTCTAATGGAGCTTAGCCAAGCAACAGTTCATCTGCTTATGGTGTAAATTGAAATGGTATCAGAGCATAGAGACCTTCGATCCACTCGTACTAATCGTCCCTCAGTCCAAAAGGTATAAATTGACAACTTCATATTCACAAACTTCTTTTTTAGGTTTACCTTTTCCTTAAAACTTAAATCAAATACTATTGTCCAACCAAGACTCTTATCCACTGTAAAACAATAATATAACTATAACATGTAGTTCGATGACATGACACCAATATATCATCCAAAATTAAAAATCTATAATCTCCTATCTTAATAGAACTTAACTCAATCTTGCTCGATTAATACAAGTTGACTCAATAAATAAATAAATAAAGTAGGAATACTGTTCCGTCTCAATTTATGTGATATTATTTGACTTGGCACGGAGTTAAAAAAAAAAAAATTTATAACTTATAATAGTTGAGTTGCCGTAAATCCTCTTATTGAGGGTATTTATGAATTTCAAAATTAAATTGTATCCAAATATAAAAATTTGATTTTTCTTTTGAAAAAATTTAAGAAATTCGGATGGATAAAGTACTAATTTGGAAGGGAAAAACATTTACACCAACCTAAACAACAAAAATTCATCCCGTTATGGAAGTAGGAAAACCAAGAACAGAATATATTACATTACATGACATAACAATAGAAACTCCGATGGTGATAGTGAAGACCAAATTCCGATTCCAACGCCGTTCAAAAACTAAGCTCTCTTCAAAGAAGTTATAGTAATCTTAGCTCCTAAAGGCGACGTGCCGACGTCGATATCCAACGTGTCATAACGGAGGAAAAACTCCGTTACCAACAATCTCGAAACCAGCACCACGAAATCCTTTCCAGCACACTGTTTATTCTCCACCGTCGGACTCTCCGTTTCCGGCCCGTTAGACCATAATACATGTTTCAATAGCTTTTCCCCTTCTTCACCTACGAACCGATCGGGTACGAACTCATCGGGTCGGTCAAATATTTTCGGATCCTTAGTCGCAAACGGTTGGTACCCGAATAACATTTCGCCTTTTTTCACCTCAAAAACGCCATCGTGTGATTCGATCATAAGGTCACGTTTGGCTCTTCCGTATTGAGAAGCAACTGGTGGATCAATTCGTAAAGCCTCGTATACAACCGATTTCATCACAGGCATTTTCTCCATCGCCGACATCGTGATCTTCCCGCCGGCGGATTTGACGGCGGATCGGATCTCGTTCGCTAACCGGATATGGAGCTCTACTCCTGCTCTAGCTATCCATTTCAGCATATTAGGAAAGAAAATCTTCATCCCGCCAAAGGAATTGAAACACGTAGCGAAGAGAAGATTATGACAAGCTTCGTCGCGCGAAATACCAAAATTTCCAGCTTCGTTTAGCACAGCAGTGGAACTCTCATAGAAGAAATCGTAGAGTCTCTGGTAATCTTTCTTGACCAGAGCTGGCGGTAACCGGAAATTATGGAGGAGAAAGTCGTCTAGAACCTTCGGAAGACCAAGAGTGAGCAAAGGATGAAGCTGAAACAACACCCATTTGCCGATCAATGTGGGACCATCAGTTCCGAGCTTAGTCTCAACTGGGTTCGCTCCGTACAATGATCTAGCTAAGAAATTAAAAGCAGCTTGATCATTAGCCGAGTTTAAATCAGCTTTACCGTTTTTCTCCATTTCCTTTTCTAGGGTTTTAAACAGCTCCGTATAGCTTTCGTGAAACTGGGGTATTATATAATCACGACGAGAAGAAAGAAGAAAAAAGAGTAGCTTTTTTAATTTTTCATGGGTAGGTTCAGAAGGATCAAGATAAGAAAGAACACGGTAACCGCCGGTGAGTTCAGTCGACGGCATGAAAGTTCCGGTGAAGAGATCCTTTTTCTCGACTTTAGAAACGTCGAAGAGGGTGGGAAAACTCTTGCCGTCGAGCAAAACGACAACGTTTGGATTGGAAGAAATGAAATTTCCAGGTGGCATATTGGTTTTAAATACAGTAGATTTGTATTTTTGAATTCTTGATCTGAAGAATTCTTCTTTACCTTGATTATAAAAATAATCTTGTCTATCTTTCCATGGACCAATTAAAGGAAGACCATAATCGCCAGGAATTGTACGGATCGGTAATTTTGTGAACTCAGACGACTGTGTTACTGCTGGTATTTTTTCGGATAAAGAGACTGTAATGGGACGAACAGTGAAGTATTTTGAAGGAAACTGTTGATGAAGAGAATGGAAGGGAAGTGAAGAAGATGAAGATAATGTTGCTGTTGCTGTTGCTACTGCCATTGTTGTAAGAAAATGAAGTGTGATTTTTTGATAAAAAGGTAAGAGGAACTTTAAGTAGTGGGAGATGGGACTGTGAATATAATTTTTGATGAAATTTTCTTCTATAATGTAGCGGTGTGGTGGGACTGGAAAAAGTTTGATGTTTGTGTTTTTGTGTTTGTGTATAAAACTTCACGTGTATAATATAGAAAGGAAGTGCTAAAGAAATTGTTGTTGGAGTTGAATTTTAGACGAGTGTCGGCGTTGAATATTCCCAGATATAATATAACGTTGAAAGTTGTCATGTTTGTTTACCATATTCAAAACTACACCCTCTTCTAATTTATGTGAACCTGTTTAAGAGGGTATTTGTTTAAGAGGATGTTTGGATTGACTTATAAAAAGTACTCCCGTTTTTAAGCTAAAAGCTAAAAGCCATAACTTGTTAATACCCAACTTTTGGCTTTTGACTTATAGCCCGTTTGGCCAAGCTGCAAAAATCAGCTTATTTTGAGAAATGCTTCTTTTCAAAAGTGCTTTTCTCAAAAATACTTTTGGTGAGAAGCAGTTTGTGTTTGGCTAATTAGTTTGAAAGGCACTTCTGAGCAGCAATTAGTGTTTGGCCAAGCTTTAAAAAACTGCTTCTAAGTGTATTTTTCTCAAAAGTGCTTCTCAAAAAAGTACTTTTGGAGAGAAGCTACTTTCTTCTGCTTCTCCAAAACTGCTTCTGCTTCTCCTCAAAAGCACTTTTTTTCCTTCCAAAAGCTTGGCCAAACACCTCCATTTTTGGCCAACCAAAAAAAAGCACTTTTGGCCAAAAAGAAGCTTGACCAAACATGCTATTATTTTTGTACTTTTTATGCCTAAAAGTAAGTGCTTTTAAGCACTTTTTATCATTACCAAACACCACACAAACTAAAAGAGTGCTTAAAAGCCAATAAGCACTTAAAATAAGCCAATCCAAACACCCACTAAACTAGAACCTGTTTGATTGAGTACGGAGTTTAAGAAAAATGAATACTTTTTAAATTTGTGATCCTAAACAAATCAAAAAGGGGTCCAAGTATTTGTGTGGTTATAAAAGCTTCTCACTATGGATAAAATTGGAAGTCTAAGCTAAATTGTTTCCAAATTTAGAAGGGTTATTTTATTTGAAACTAACCAAAAAGAAAATAGGGTCACATAAACTGGAATAGAGGAAGTATGTAATAAATTGAGAAGTATATTAATTACGAGTCCAAAACCTAAATGTGGTCTTTTTGGACTCAAAAGATCGAAATAAGTGGGGGAAAAATTAAGTGACCAAACTATATCAAACGCGGTTTTAAAGAGCAATTTACTTCAACGTCCGTTTTGGACGTTAAGGTAAAGCGCGTTTTAAAAAGGCGTTTTATATAAAACACGTTTTCGAAAAATGCTATACTTATTTTGTGAGTCCACCAATAATTCTTCTGCGCTTAACTGACATAACAATAATTTAAATGGGTAAAACACGTTTTAAAGGGGCGTTTTACCTCAAAAATTCGACCCTCCCGGATTGGGCATTTCCTTATTTAAAGGCGTTAAGGATTTTGCAAAAATCCATTCAGAAATATTCTCAACTCCTGTTAAATTTTTCTTCTTGTTAAATTCTCAAGCATTTTGTCATAATGTACGAAGAGCGAAAAGTAAGGGTTTCATTATATTGGGGGGGTGGGGGGTGGGGGTGGGGGTGTAAGGTTGTTGTGGCGAATAACTCAGTGAGCTATAGTTTATCTCCACGGAGTCATGTTAAGTTGCCACTTACAATGGAGTACGATAGACTGATATCCTTGTTGTGTAATAAAATGAGTGTGAGCAAACGTTCGGTGAACCTTAAAGTAATCGGAAGATATTCGTATTCTGTCACTCCGCAAGGGGTTGCTTGTTACGCTGAGTTTAACATCGAGGAAGATGTAACTTTGAGAGATTTTTTGGGGACTCCGGATGAATACCGAGAATTTATTTTGATAAAAATGTTGGAAATGTACGTGAAGGTTGAAGACGTTCGCAATAATGAGGTTGCGCAAAGCAGGGATAACCCTCAATCATCGGGTGCTTATTCTGGAGCAGTTTTAGCCGAACAGGTTCCGGCTGAAAGAGTTTGGCCGGATCTAAACTTATCTCCACGGGCGAATGAGGAGCGAGGAAATAATGTCTCTCTTACTTTCCATGATCCACAAGACGAGTGGTAAACTTCAATTTTCCTTTGTGTTACGATGTTTTTTGTTGTTGTGTTAATTTTATATTAACACTCATATATTCCATAGGGGGTACCGTCCAGATATGAATTTTACAAGTTATAAACCCACGTCCCATTGGAATATGCGTAGTTTGGGTGTGTTGGATCATGGTGGTCCATCTAGGAGTCATCACCAACAGGATAATGTCCATCATGAAATGTCAACACATTACGACTTGTAAGTGAAGTGATATAGCTATATGTAAAGTATTTATCAATTTGAGTAGCTTATTATTTTGTTGTTTGTGCAGTGAAAACGAGCAAGTTAAACCACCTGTCCTGACTCAATTGCCCGAAGATGACGTATTTACTTGGGATCTGGCAGATGCGCAGAGTCAAGAAGAGAACAGTGATTATGACAACAATGTCGATGAGTCCGGAGATGCCACACCCTTCTCTGATGAGGGTGGTGATGAGGAGGAAGAGAATGATGAACCTAATTTGACGAGGGAGCATGCTCCACCCCCGTTAGACCAAGAGTGTACGAGTCCCACGTGTCGTTTCATTCAAGACATATTCCCTACCTTGATCATTTGCCAAGTATGCCGGATGTTGATGCTCTCACAAGGGATTTTAACGAAATTTGGACAGCAATGTGGGATGAGTCTAGACCAACGGTGCTGGTAAAGGGCATGCTTTTTCCTGATAAAGCACGCCTAAGCAGGGCAGCAAAAATGTACAGCGTAAAAGAGTGTCGTGAGATGACGGTATGGGAGTCAAGTCCGGATGTATACAAGGTTATTTGCCGTAGATGGTTTACGGGTTGTCATTGGATGCTGCGTGCGAGCAAGAAGAAAACAGGTATGTGGAAAGTGGGTAAATATATTGGCACCCACACTTGCGAAATGGACACATTCAATAGGAATCACTACAACTTGGATGTTGACTTGATTTCTATTGTCCTGATTCCACACATTGAAGCATCCATAAGGTACAAGATCAAAGAGTGCATTACATCCCTCCACCAGGAATATGGTCATATAATTACCAAAGAAAGGCATTTCTCGGGCGCAAACGTGCGTTTGAAATTGTTTATGGTAACTGGGATAAGTCATTTGCAGCTCTACCCAGGTACATGACCGCATTGTAGCACTTTAAACCCGGGACCGTTGTTGAATGGAAACATGAGCGGAGTTCGGGAATACCGGAATATATTCAAATACGTGTTCTGGGCATTTAAACCAGCAATTGATGGCTTTGTGCATTGTCGTCCGGTAATATCCATAGACGGTACTCATGTCTATAGAAAGTATGATATTAAGCTATTGATCGCTGTTGCAATAGATGCCAATGGACAAATATTTTTCCTAGCTTTTACCATCTGTGCCGCTGAAAGCCAAGAGACATGGACGCTATTTTTGAACCACTTGAAGGAGCACGTTGTCAAACAACATTAAGGTATTTGTCTAATATCTGATCGGCATGGGGGTATATTATGTTCTGTAGAGCATTTGCCTGAATTGATTGAACCGTATGCATACCACTGTTACTATGTGAAGCACCTGAAGGCCAATTTCCAGAAGGCACATCCCAACAAGGATCTGCATGATTTAATGTGGATGACTGCAACAGATCACCAAGAGCATAAATTCCGGAGGCACATGGAATCTATTAGGCAGGAAGACGAGGCAGCGTATTATTGGTTACTGCGACATAAGCCTGAAAAGTGGACTTTGCATGCGGATGGTGGCAGAAGATGGGGAATTCTGACTACAAATGTGTCAGAGTCTTTTAACGGGTTATTAAAGTCTGCACGAGGATTGCCTGTCACTGCCATGGTGCGGATGTCATTTCAAGCAGATGGCGGAGAGGTTTGTTGAAAGGGTTGCAGCTGCAACGTCATTGATGGAAAAGGGTGTTGAATTTATGCCACTACCAATGAAAAGATTTGAGAAATACAGATGTCGAGCACATTGGCATTCATTTACAGTATGATCACGATCGAAATATTTTTGACGTTTGCACCGCTATCCATGAAAATCAGGGGAATAATGTACACACCATAAATGAATCTAGAAGGTTATGCTCTTGTCGGAAATGGTCCATCTACCACATGCCGTGCTCATATGCCATCAGGTGCTTTCAACATACAGGTTTAGGGCCAACCAACTACATTGATAAACAATATAGTGTTGCTGCATACTTAAACACCTATAGTGGGCAGTTGCAGCCAGTGGGTGCTGAGTATTATTGGCCGCCGGAACCATTTAAAATGATGTGTAACAAGGAGATTTTGCGTCAGCAACAGGTGTAGAAAAGAACGCGTATACGGAACCAAATGGATGTTGGTGATACCGTTTATGTGCGTAAATGTGGCATATGCTCGCAAATAGGACACGACCGCCGTAAATGTCCTTCAGCTGGTTTGGGTGGTGGTGGTAATCCAGCTCCTGGTGGAAGTTCATTTAATGTGCCCAACTATCAAGGATACACGTAGTGTTTTATTTTTGTAATGTGTTTTTAAGAAGTGTATGTACTTGTTTATCTTGCAGAATGTATGAAAGAAAATTATGTTTCCATTGTTGTTATATCTTTTTAATATTTAACATTAATACTTCAGTACAACAATCTAACATAAACCCATTTAAACAACCAAAAAAATTGTCATTCGCCATTATCGTCGTTGTCTGGCACTATTTTATTGTCAGTGTCTTTAACTTATTCGTCAACATCGTGTATGTACCTTTCGGGACCGGGGGCATCATAATCTAGGTCCCAGTTGACACACATTTCTCGCATTTCATCGCTATCATCAAGAAGACCACTTGCCTGATTTCTACAACAATATGGGACACCTACATCCAACGTCTGTGGTATAAACTTAGGTAGCCCCTCCCACTCGACACTATTGGGAAAACAAGATAATCATTGTCTCTATGCAATTTATCATTCTCTAATAAATCCCAGTACTGATCCTCTGTTCCTCTCAAGAAGTTAAGATCATTCA